GGCGATAGGGCCACCGCCGGTAAAGGCAAAGCGCCTGCTAAACACCCTAAAGTGCCCTATTCTAAACCCAAGCAAACCTCCCAACATGATTTTGACGCATTTGAGGGTTCAACCTCTAATTATAATCTCCACGTATTAGACGAATACTACGCAGAACACTCGGATACTGAGGCTCCACCTCATAAGACATTCCCAGACCTCTACCCTTCCGATTCTGCAACTAATGAACCCCCCCTCATTCCTCTAGAGGAATTCCAATTGGAGTCTGATCTCACCTCTGAAAACCCTAACTTGAAAGAGGATACCTTATTTGACACCTCTGGCCGCCCTTTATTTGACCCCAGATGCATCAGGCACCCTAGATCGGCCGAATGGACACCCCCGGACCACATTGGCAAATACTGCAGAATGTGGCTCCGTCGGCCTTTAGAAAAAGAGGTGAGAGCCAAATTAAGGGCAGAATGCCCACGCCCCTCTATCCCAGACAAGGTGGCCAATACACCCGAATTCGACCCTTTCCTTGTGACCTTTCTAACCAAGTCAGGAAAAGACCCCCGTAAGGGTCTAGAACAGGGTCTGAAAGCCACTCAGGACAAGTTGATGGATGTGGCGGGCCCACTTATACAAATCTTCATAATTGCAGACGAGGCTTTATCAGGTGGCACATTTGATGCACATATGGTGCGAGAGTGGGCACAAAGAGCCTTATGCCTTTTAGGCAATGCCAATGTGGCAATATCAACTGAACGGCGGAAGGCCGTCCTTTATAAAATCGATGCCAAACTTGCCGAATTGGGCACTAAAGAACTTGGTCCAGAGGCTCAAGGCATGTTATTTGGAGACAAGTTCATAAAAGAACTAAGTAAGCACGTCTCTGTTTTTACTACACTGACAAAAGCACAGTCCTCCATTCGCAAGGTATTTCGCACTCAGCGTTTTTCTGGAAGAGCTGGTCGCTATAGAGGCCGAGCGACTGGCAGAGCCGCCTTCACAGGCTACAGGCCTCGACCTTCAGACACCTGGAACTCGGGCAATACCCGATTCCACCACAGACAATTTTTTCCCACTCGCGGAGCTATCCGAGGACGTGGATCCGCTTCCCTCCGCGGTCGCACTGCTACAGGTAATGGACCTTCCTTATTCTCATATTCCTATTGCAGGCCGGTTAACCCTTTTTTCCCAACAGTGGTCTCAACTCACTCAGGATCCTTGGATCCTTCAGACGGTGTCCGGGTTCCACCTGGATTTTTCAGTCGAACCAATACAAAATTTTCCTCCTACCCCAATCAAAATGTCACTGTTAGACGAGTCGACTCTACGGAGCGAACTCGACGATCTATTCACCAAGGGTGCGATCGAAAGAGTTGTTGGCCCACAGATCTTCATAAGCAACATGTTTCTAGTCAAGAAAAAATCAGGAGGTCTACGACCTGTCATCAACCTGAGAGATCTGAACAAGTTCATCGCATACCGTCACTTCAAAATGGAGGGGATCCATTTATTGAGAGACCTACTCTCCGAGGGAGATTGGTTCTCCCGCTTCGACCTAAAGGATGCCTACCTAACGGTGCCGGTAACACCAGCACACCGCTGCCTCCTTCAGTTTCGTTGGGAACAAGCACTATGGCAGTTCACAGGCCTCCCCTTCGGCCTATCTTCTGCACCCTGGTGCTTTACCAAACTAATGAAACCAGTGATGGCCTTACTGCGCTCACAAGGCATCCGATCCATAATCTATCTGGACGATATCCTCCTCATGGCACAAGACCAAGAAACTCTCCACCTTCATACAAGCATGACCTCCGCCCTATTGCAGAATCTTGGTTTCGTGATCAATCACCAGAAATCATCTTTAACACCGTCCCAGACGATACAGTTCCTGGGATTCCAGATAGACTCTGTTCAAGCAGTCCTTCAACTTCCGGCATCCAAAATCAAATCCATCAAAAAGACATTCGGAGGTTACTGATATCACCACACCTCCGCCTGCGAGATCTAGCCCGCACCATCGGCTTGCTCTCCGCCTCAATACAGGCTATATTCCCTGCCCCACTGCACTACCGGGCACTGCAACGCCTGAAGACCCAATACTTACATCAGTCGACGTCCTACGACCAACAGATCACACTCACGGACGAAGTCCGGCTCGAACTCCATTGGTGGCTACAACATATGGACGCTTGGAATGGAAGAGCCATTTTCGGATCCCAACCAGACTTCATCCTGGAATCGGATGCAAGTCTGCTCGGATGGGGCGCAACCTGCTCGGAAAGCTCTACAGGAGGACTCTGGTTCCACTCGGAACGAGCACTTCATATCAACTGCCTCGAACTGATTGCAGGCTCATTCGCAATCCGCAGTTTTGCCAAAGATGTCTACAACTGTTCCGTGGTGCTGAAGATGGACAACGTGTCCGCAGTTCGTTACGTGAATCATCTAGGAGGTTCCAAATCAAAGATGCTTTCAGATCTGACCAAAGAATTATATCAGTTCTGCCTAGACAGGAATATCTCCCTGCGAGCGGAATATCTACCGGGATCAGACAACCTCGTCGCAGACTGGTTCTCACGACACTGGAGGGACTCCAGCAATTGGCATCTGAATCCACAGATATTTCACCGTCTCCAGGTCTGCCGGGGGCCATTCAACCTGGACCTCTTTGCATCTCGCCTCAACAGGCAGACGGACGCCTTTTACAGCTGGTTGCCGGACCCAGCGTGCCTTGCAGTCGATGCCTTCCTACAGACGTGGCCGATGTCCGGGGCATATGCGTTCCCTCCGTTCTCCATGATTCCACGCACACTACAGCACCTCAAAACTCAGGGTGTCAAGATAACACTAGTGACCCCGCTATGGCGGGCCCAACCATGGTATCCTTACCTCCTGGAAATGTCTGTGGACTTCCCCCTGCTGCTACCCAACGCCTGCGACCTCCTCAGAGACCCGACAGGCAACTTTCACCCATTGGCAATCCAGGATCATCTCCAACTAGTGGCTTGGACCGTTTCAGGGGATCTTGGAATGTCTCAGGCCTTTCGACAACTGCTCAGGGACTCCTTTGGGATTCATGGGCCCCGGGAACCAGACGTTCTTACATCTCTGCATGGCGTCTATGGAGTTGCTGGTGCTTGGAAAGGAACCTTGATCCCTTTTCAACATCTATAATTAATGTTATCAATTTCCTGTCGTCTCTGTTCGACCAGGGTAAATCCTACCGGACCATTAACGTGTTTCGGTCTGCTATTTCTGCAGCGCACGTTCCTATCGAAAGTTCTTCAGTAGGCAAACACCCTTCTGTCTGTAGACTCTTGCGGGGCATCCGCATCGCTAGACCCCCGACTCCCAAATATAATCAATTCTGGGACGTGGCCATCATGCTCACGTTCTTGGAAGCTTGGCCGGACAACGAGGCACTCTCCCTACGCCAATTGTCAGCCAAATTAGCTCTCCTCCTTTGCTTGGTCTCCTTCCGAAGAGTTTCTGACATCAGGGCTTTCGACTTTCATGCCCTCGATTTCACACCGGAGGGGGTGCACTTTCATATCACTAGACGCACCAAGACCAACTCATCTACTGTGAGCTACCCTTACTTCTCTGAGAAACCCCTCCTCTGCGTAGCCCGGTGTATAAGACACTATATCGCTCGCACTACCCCTCTCAGAGCACCTACTGGGCCCCTCCTGGTATCTTATGTACGACCTCACAAACCAGTCTCGTGCCCTACCATTGCACGATGGATTAAATGGCTTCTAGCCCTGGCTGGCATTGATGCATCTTTCGGAGCTCACTTGGTTAGAGGCGCAGCCGCCTCCTCGGCACTCATAGCTGGAGGTTCCTTAGCGGAGATTCTATCCTCCGCTGATTGGTCTAGAGAATCCACCTTCCGTACTTTTTATTTTAGACATTCTCCACACGTTTCTCTGTCCTTGCTATCTGTGCTTTAAAATAGCAAATATGAAGCCTCCTGTCTTGCCATAAAATTCGGGATTATTCTAGCTCCTAGTGACTGAATAATCTAAATTTTATTAAAGACAGGAGGCGAATATTTTCCCACCCTGGATTCTCCTTACCCACCCTTTTAGGTAAGTATCCTGCACTATCTCCAGTTCTAACTATGACCAGCATCCTCTCTTTTCCTAGCCTATACTCGTTAGGTCGTTATTATATGCTAAACCGCTTTCAATTGTACATTGGTTTATTGTATTCTAGGTGTGTCACTTACTCTACATACCACACAGTTAATTATCATAAGTTAGAGCTTGCACTTAAATTGGAAGTCAGTTCACTGCATTTACTTTGATTTTTCTCTTGCCAAAGAGACCATACTTTCACGATGTTTCTCCTTCCTCCTAGTGTGAAGATCAATTGCCTTCTGTCTCGAATCTACCTGCGGGTTGATCACTACCTTCATCCTACCGGATACCTACACCGTTACCTGTTCATCGTTTTAAGGTTTCTACATTTACATGGTTGACTCTACGACTGTTCGGCTACATCAAGAAAGAGGAATTGGGAGGAGCCTGATGACAGTTTATACTACTGTAATGCTTACTGATTGGTTAAACTTTTTTACACTGCTGTTAACTGTTTCTTTGCTGCTGGGAGTTACAGTAAAGAAAGATAAGCAAATATTCGCCTCCTGTCTTTAATAAAATTTAGATTATTCAGTCACTAGGAGCTAGAATAATCCCGAATTATTGCCATTTCTGTCCTCCCCCCCCCCTCAAGTTGTAGCACCTACTGCTGCCCAACAAGCATATACATTCTATGACTTTACAATATGACCTTGGACCTTAATAAGTGTAGCCTAATTTAATAACTGTGGTTTTAGACAGTTTTTGATGATGCAGTACACCTTAATCTCCACCTAGATGGCGCTGCAGTTAAATAAATCGAAACGCTCTCAGTCTAGTCAATCAAAACACCAGAAGAAGCGCGAACGCTCGCTGGCTTGGGCGTGCCTATCCTAGTGACGTAGAAGCTGAAGGCTGAGGCCACGAAAAAAAAAACAAACACGTCAGATGGACGTTTTGTTTCCGGCCGCCATTTTGTGGAGTGAAACCATTGCCCGTGTCCGGTTTGTGGCGCCGAGCGGTAGCGTTGAAAGCAGGCTACGAGCCGGCGAGGGTGTCCGGTGACGGTCCGGTTGGAGCTGAGGGGGGTCTCCGGGGCCCCAATGACCCGTTGGACTCGGGGAGAGAGAGTATTCCATAGCGGCTGCAGGGCCCAGGCCTTTCACTGCGAGAAGGCGGCCATCTCGTCCGTGTGAGCACAGTCTGCTGAGGTAATATGAAGGGCCCCCCCTCACACACACAGCCACACACACCAATACAAACCCCTTCAATCCTCCAAAGCCGTGTGAGCTCAGTCTGCTGAGGTAATATGCCGGCCCCCCCTCACACACACCAATACAAACCCCTTCAATCCTCCGAGGCCGTGTGAGCACAGTCTGCTGAGGTAATATGAAGGGCCCCCCCTCACACACACCACACATACAAACCCCTTCAATCCTCCGAGGCCGTGTGAGCACAGTCTGCTGAGGTAATATGCCGGCCCCCCCTCACACACCAATACAAACCCCTTCAATCCTCCGAGGCCGTGTGAGCTCAGTCTGCTGAGGTAATATGCAGGGCCCCCCTCACACACAGCCACACACACCAATACAAACCCCTTCAATCCTCCGAGGCCGTGTGAGCACAGTCTGCTGAGGTAATATGCAGGGCCCCCCTCACACACAGCCACACACACCAATACAAACCCCTTCAATCCTCCGAGGCCGTGTGAGCACAGTCTGCTGAGGTAATATGAAGGGCCCCCCCTCACACACAGCCACACACACCAATACAAACCCCTTCAATCCTCCGAGCCGTGTGAGCTCAGTCTGCTGAGGTAATATGAAGGGCCCCCTCACACACAGCCACACATCAATACAAACCCCTTCAATCCTCCGAGGCCGTGTGAGCACAGTCTGCTGAGGTAATATGCCGGCCCCCCCTCACACACAGCCACACACACCAATACAAACCCCTTCAATCCTCCGAGGCCGTGTGAGCTCAGTCTGCTGAGGTAATATGTGAGGCCGTGTGAGCACAGTCTGCTGAGGTAATATGAAGGGCCCCCCCTCACACACAGCCACACACACCAATACAAACCCCTTCAATCCTCCGAGGCCGTGTGAGCACAGTCTGCTGAGGTAATATGCCCCCCCCTCACACACAGCACACACACCAATACAAACCCCTTCAATCCTCCGAGGCCGTGTGAGCACAGTCTGCTGAGGTAATATGAAGGGCCCCCCCTCACACACACAGCCACACATCAATACAAACCCCTTCAATCCTCCGAGGCCGTGTGAGCACAGTCTGCTGAGGTAATATGCCGGCCCCCCCTCACACACCAATACAAACCCCTTCAATCCTCCGAGGCCGTGTGAGCACAGTCTGCTGAGGTAATATGCAGGGCCCCCCTCACACACAGCCACACACACCAATACAAACCCCTTCAATCCTCCGAGGCCGTGTGAGCACAGTCTGCTGAGGTAATATGAAGGGCCCCCCCTCACACACACCAATACAAACCCCTTCAATTCTCCGAGGCCGTGTGAGCACAGTCTGCTGAGGTAATATGAAGGGCCCCCCCTCACACACACCAATACAAACCCCTTCAATTCTCTGAGGCCGTGTGGCTGGCAGAGGGCTGTGGGAGTTGTAGGCCCGCAATCCCACCCATTATTTATATTATTTGACCAGAAAGGATACATTACAATTTCTCGTTTTCCCACTATGTCCTGGGCCGACTAATATCGCATTGATACAACGGGATACAGATATTATATTAAACTTACACAATGTTAAAATGCAATATTAAAACTAAATCCAACACAAAAGAGGTCAGTAAATTATAACCCACCGTGATGACCGTGACTCTGTGTTGAGATATGTTCACAGAAATCTCTTAAGGGATTTTTAGCCTGGAGGAAAATTAAATTTTTACATTGTTTTTGCTCTTTTTTTTTTTTTTTTATTAGTGACTGTTTTTGTTTTGAAGCCCAGTCAAGCCGCCCTAGCAAGCGCATAGTACAAAACTGCATGAGTTAGTAAATATTGGGAAAGTGGTGTTTAGTGGCCTATGATTCAAACAAATGCAGTCACCTGTCAGATTTTGGTGAAACTAAAAAAAATTACTTTAAATCATTGAAGTGGTCATGGTGCTTGGAATAACTCTCTAAAATAGAATGAAAACTGTATATCAATGTATAATAGTTTTTATATGCTTTATTGTTACATTAATAGGGCTGAGACATACAAATCTAGATCCCAAGTTCCTGCCAGGGCCCTCCTTCAGACATCAATACCAAAATCCCAGATACCTAAGAGAAAAAATGGCAACCAACATGGGAGAACAGCTGAATCCAGAGTGGTAAGTTATTTTTTTCATTTTCCGCTCTCTCTATAAAATAAAAAAAATTCTAATAGAAAACCTCTCTAACTCTGCAGTACGTTGCCAGACTGTATGAAAGTGGTTTGACTGCTTACTCTGGAGGGGTGCCAGGACACTCCTGGCATCTTAACTACTAGAGATCTATAAATGCAAATAATAGTGCTGACAGTACAAGTTTCATTGCTGTGGTAGTTGGTGTAGACTACAACATAATGACATGAAAGTGTGTATGTACACCCACCACCACCCAGGAATCAGTGTGTTACAGAAGCTGCAAATCAGGTGTGTTTTTGTTGTTTTTTTTTTTTTTTTCTGATGTGCTTTGATCTTTTTATTAAATATAATGCTAATTTATTTCACATAGGATCCAGCAGTACAATGCAAGCAGTGGTATGGAAACACCAATGCATGAAAATCCTGAATGGGAAAAGGCACGCCAAGCTTTAGCAACTATTCAGAAAGATAACTCTAATTCTGCAACTACTAAAGGAGCAGCCAATGATCAAGCAAGCACCCAGGTGAGAATGTATTCATTCACCAGAACTATAATCTACATTTCCAGTTCAAACTTTATAGCCTACGTATCCGTGAGCAATCCATCAGGAAACAAATCTCGCTTTGAAAAAAAATTCCTATATTTGCTCAGCATCAACTGGGTTCATGCAAAGTGAGTGCTTACAGCTCTCACCATGTTTACTTGCTCACAGGCAGACTTTAGGATAGTTTGCTTAATATACTAATTATGAAAGGGCAATAAGTACATATGTAACATTTCAGAGAACTGACAATCTCTAGACAGTGAAGCAATTTCTTTCACTATTCCCTGCTATTAAAGTGTATCTGTGGGGGCTTCTCCCCCTTACCTGACCCTCTGGTGTAATGTTGTACAACGGCACAGAATGGTGGTCTATTGAAAATCCCGGCAGACCATGACCTACTTCATAATAATCTTCCACAGCATTAGTTAGTTAGATGCAATGGGTAACTATAACACTATGTAATGTATTGTTTGAACATGCAATGCTCTCTCACTTACATTGTTTTTCTTTTCACTAGTATGCAGCTCATCAAGGAGATGCTGCGATGCAGCATCAATATTATCAATGGTATTCACAGTATAATTATACGTATCCATACAACTACTATTCTTACCCCATGGTATGTATCTCCCTTCTTTTTCTGTAGTCCAAAGTTCCAAACCTATGAAATATGCAGTTAGGTTTTTACCTATCTGAATAAATGTTCCTGTTTAATGTTAAATCCATTAGTGACAACTGGCACCATAACCAAGATAGTGTTATATTGGTGTTATGGTGCATGGATCATTTATTTTTAATTGTAGTTTATTCCATAAGCAGTGAATTGTGATTTGAAAGCCTGGATATCCTTTGTGTCTGATTTTAAAATTATTTTTTTTTTTAAATGCTTTTAGTTCATCACAATTGACTATTTATCAAGTAAACCCTTGTATTTCCAGTTCAGCTGTTCTGCTCTAAAATTTGCAATTATCGGTCAACTAATGGTTTAGTCAGTAATCCTATTAATGAATGACTTTGTGCACAACAACATTCCTTGCATGTAATTTTTTTATATTTATTTTTTAAATATTGGATTTACTACAATTGAATGACTTTAAATTTCAATGGTATTTAGACAAATAAGATTGATATACCACCACTTAGAATTTAAAAAACGGAGAGCATACTTTTTAATACAGGCTGTATGCTTGACATTTAGTTCTACCTGTGTTTATTGAAGTCTTTTATGTATTGCTCTGTTTTGCAGAATATGTATGGGGGATACCCCACCACGGGGCAATACAGCATGCCAGGTGCTTATCAAGTGACTGCCTCACAGCAGCCTCAAACAGTGGTCCAGCATCAGGGGAATCCTAACCAGGTACACACTAGCAAATTCTGTGCCATATAAAGTTTTATTAAAAATTTACTAAATGTATTTGTGAGCAAATTGTAGAAAAATTTAACTTGCACAGGTCAGTTATAATATAGAAACCTAGATTATTTTTTTTTTTCTCTCTCTCTCTCTTGGGTGGTTTGGTAGTACTTGGAAACTTATCTTCAGCTTAAACAATTTTGAATGATTTTATTTCCATCCAGAATTGCTTTAAATGTTTTTTGTAGCTGAATTTCATGAATATATATATTTTGTTATATAGGAAACATTGTAGTTTTCATTAGCTATAGTTAAATGTGTGTTCCCGGACATCGTATTCTAGCAGTGCACATTATCAGTATTCACACTTTATTTTAAACCTTTTTTTTTTTTTTTTTAATACACAAATTTGAATATCTTATGAATCTGATCATTCAGATAACCTAACCAATGCAGCTTACTGTAGTTATCATGCAATGAAATTTAGAGCTTGTTTCTCAATGATACTGACTGGGTGCCATTTGCTGAATTGCCTTTTGTTGCTGTTAAGCGAATATATACAGTATATTAACTTCAATAGTTTAGCAGTAGCAACAAGGAGATGGTAAATAGCTGGCACTATGAACATCAAGGTTGTAAACTAGCCCTTGGGGTGCAGTCCTTTGATTTGTGTCGTGTTTTGGTCCTCAGACATGGGGGTAATCTAACCTCCTTATTATAAGTCCATGTTTCGGTGTGCTGTGAGCCCAGTTCTTACCAAGCAGTGATTGGCTCAGTGCAAGGGTGTAATGAGTCCTGCTGAATCACAGGTGTCCATTTTTGATATACACATTTTCCACAAGTCCTTTTAGCATAACTAAATTAGTCATTGCAGGCCTCTCATTATTTGCCCAAGGCATGTGTTAACATATCTTAGTAAAAAATGTTTTGTGTTCTTTTTAAAATCAGGTTTTTCAGATTGTATGCTTTAGCATTCTTTATATCTGGGACATAAGGTAATAACTATTCCGTAGGTCATAACATTGTTTTGCTTTTTGTTTTCAGCCTCCTGTTCCTGGTCTAGAAGATGGCATGTCTTATTCTACTGTTCAACCACAGGTTTCTACATCTAATAACCAATCTGCTTCACATCATCAACTTGTCAATCATAGTATGACACAGTCTTGTCCTCAAGGAGGATCATCAAACGGCCATCCTACTCAACAGCATCCAGTATCAAATTCCAATAGTTATAATCAGCATTCCTATAATGATGCTTCCAAACAGAATAAGGGCCAGCAACTGTATAATCGAATGAAGCGTGAGTTGTCTTTTTCATTTGAGCCTAAACCGTTAATCTATATTTTTTTTTTTTTTTTCTATAACCTAAATAGAGAAAGTGGCCTTTTCAGAACCTATTGTATTTTATAGAACTTATCTCCCAAATGTGTGAGTGAAAAGATCTTCTTCAGATTACATACAAGACTCGAATAGTGCAACAAATTGTTGTTCTGTCATGAAAACTCTATTTTTAAAGTGCTCATTGGGTTTTTTTTTATTTGTGGCATTGTACAGTTAGCATTTTTTGATGCAGATCTTGGTTTAAAAGTGGTAGTGCTTTTATTTTATAAAATTTATTTTTCTTTTTTAAATAAAGATATTTAAGAGTGTCAAAATTATAACTGACTACTAAATGAATCTCATCTGGTGAATTTAGGGGAAATTAGTTTGTTTGACTGTTAATAAAGAACCAAAATACTTTAAATGCCATACAAAACTGTGCCCATGTCTTTTGTAAAATTGCACTTTCTTAATTAGCTGTGCTATTCATTCATCTTTTCATTGGTTTACTTTTGTTGGACCTTATAAAGGCAGGTATTAAAATAGTAGCTCTTTTAAAAAGGTAGCCACAAGGTGTCTTTTGCCAAGACCAGTGCAGATTTCAGTCCTGACCCACTGTTCAGACTGATAAGGGGGGTTGAAACTCAATTGAAATACTTATATTTTTTTCATTTTCTAGAGGCCCCTGGTTCTGGAGGACTGAAGTTTAATATTCAGAAACGTCCTCTTGTAATGGCCAATCAGAATTTTGAACCTGGTGAGCACCATGGTAATTCTGGGCAGCAGCAGCAGAAACATATGCATAATCAACTACAGCACCTGCAGCAACCACATCTTCAGCAAACTGAAAAGGGACGTGATAACAGGTAATGTTACATTTTTGATTGTGTGTACGTGTTTGTTCTTTGGCAATGTGTTTATTTTGAAAAGCTTTTGGAAAAGTCTGTTTTCTATTTTGTTCTGTAACAATTTAAAAAATGTTTACATCTTCCCAGCAATCCTTCTGCAAAGCCAGAAGATTGGCCTCCAGCAATGAAGGACTATGTCCAGCGCTGTTTCACGGCATGTGAGACAGAAGAAGATAAAGACAGAACTGAGAAACTGCTTAAAGAAGTCTTGCAAGCCCGGCTACAAGATGGATCAGCCTATACCATCGACTGGAGCAGAGAACCTCTTCCAGGGTATGCGCTTAAAAGAGGACTCTTCAAGCCTGAAGTGACCCATACTTTTAATCCTTAGGACAGAACTAAAAAAAAAAAAGTTCTGTATCACTAGCCATGCCTTACAAATTACTCATCAATGCAAGGCTGGATGGTCCATGACACACTTACCAGGGTTGAATTTGTACTCCCTAGGGCAAATACAAATCTTCAATAAGCAGGGTTTAAAATTTTAAAAGTTCCTGCTTTTACATTTCAGGCAGTGCAAAGCACAAAAGGCTTTTACCAGTCAGGAGCCTCTCACTCTTGCATCCTAATGAAGTGGTTCTGGTGCATAGTTGCTACCCTTTTTGTTAGTATAAAACATTGCAGTTTCAGATAAACATATTCGTCTATATTGTGCCGGTAGTGGATAACACACAGACTGCCATAAATGAACCTTCATGATTGAAGCCTTCCATTTTCAATGAACTTCATGTTCCACGTCATAACACACTTTAAGCAGAACACTGTTAATGCTTCTCATAGAGCATAGACGCATTGACTTGGACAAAAGTCTTCAAAACTGATGACTTTGCCATCTGTTAAACAGTTGCAGAGAAAAGTGTGTTCCAATGATGGAACTCACTCTTAGTGTTATATATTCTTAGTGTTCCATTAAACTGTACCAGTTTTATTTGCTTTTTTCACTTTCTATTTATTTATTTTTTGTTTTCTTCTGGACCTGCTTTATTTTGTTTAAAAAATGTTCAGTAGCAGTATGTTGTATACTCAGCACTGTGGGCTTTGTCAAGCCAACTGATTGTTTTCAGGGTAATTAACTAAATGCTGAGTTGTAGCAAATTAAATCTGAATAGCAAAGTTGAGACTGAAATAGCTGATCATGAGTAACTCCTAGTCGTCTATAGTAACAACTTATCTATTTTATCCTCAATATTTGCTGTTCTAATTTGCCAGACTTCAGGGTTAATGAATGACCCTGTAAGTTTGTTTTTGTTATCTTCCAAAAGTAACTAAACCATGTGTACTATAATACAGAATAGTATATTAATAGTCCCCAAAGCAACTTTAGCTTAAAGGACCACTATAGGCACCCAGACCACTTCAGCTTAATGAGGTGGTCTGGGTGCCTGGTCCATCTAGGGTTAACCCTTTTTTTCTATAAACAGTTTCAGAGAAACTGCTATGTTTATGTTAATGTTAATCCAGCCTATAGTGGCTGTCTCATTGACAGCCGCTAGAGGGCTTCCGCCTTTCTCACTGTGATTTTCACAGTGAGAAGACGCCAGCGTCCATAGGAAAGCATTGTGAATGCCGAAGAGGGAGGAGAGGAGGAGGAGAGCTCCCCGCCCAGCGCTGGAAAAAGAGGTAAGTTTAACCCCTTCCTCTCCATCCAGCCCGGCGGGAGGGGGCCCTCAGGGTGGGGGCACTATAGTGCCAGGAAAAAGTGTGTTTTCCTGGCACTATAGTGGTCCTTTAATGAAGCTTTGGTGTTTAGATCACGCCTCTGCAGTCTAATTGCTCAATTATCTGCCGTTTAGGGGTTAAATCACTTTCTTTATGTTGTCCTAGTTACACTTCCCTGCATTTTGTATTAAATATCCTTTCTAAATTCTTCCTGTAAAGAGTTATCTAATGTTTACACTTCCTTTATTGCTAAATCTGTTTAATTTAGACTTTCCTATCTTCTGCTCTGTTAATGGCTTGATAGACACTACAGGAGCCTATTGTATGTAATTAAAGATTCGTTTAAATTTTTACATTTGATTTAAAATGAAACCATTTTGTTTTCGTGCAAGTTGTCAGTCACAGCCTGGGGAGATGTGACTAGGGCTGCACAAACAGAAACAAAAGGGATTTAACTCCTAGATTGCAAAGAATTGAGCTTTGAAACTTTAGAGGCATGATCTATACACCAAAACTGCTTCATTAAGCTAAAACTTTTTGATGACTATAGTTTCCCTTTAACTTACTTAAACTGAATCAAAAGTTTATTTAAAGGACCACTATAGTGCCAGGAAAACATATTCGTTTTCCTGGCACTATAGTGCCCTGAGGGTGCCCCCTCCCGCCCGGCTCTGGAAAGGGGTTTAAACGTACCTTTTTCTAGCGCTGGGCGGGGAGCTCTCTGCCTCCTCTCCTCCTCCGTTCCGCCCCGTCGGCTGAATGCGCAGGCGCGGCAAGTTGCGCGCGCATTCAGCCGTTCGCATAGGAAAGATTTACAATGCTTTCCTATGGACGCTGGCATGCTCTCACTGTGAAAATCACAGTGAGAAGCACGCAAGCGCCTCTAGTGGCTGTCAATGAGACAGCCACTAGAGGCTTTGGGGGAAGGCTTCACCCATTAATAAACATAGCAGTTTCTCTGAAACTGCTATGTTTATAAAAGAATGGGTTAACCCTAGCTGGACCTGGCACCCAGACCACTTCAGCTCAATGAAGTGGTCTGGGTGCCAGGTCCCTCAGGTTATAATTTATCATACTGTGTTGCACTATTGTCTTATTTTATTTTTTGTAGATCTACAGCTGCATCCTCCTTTTGTATATATCCCCTCAGGTTTTAACCCTGCAGAAGCAAACATAGCAGTTTCAGATAAACTGCTGTGTTTACATTGCAGGGTTAAGCCAGCCTCTCATCTTTCCTTTAAAATGCATTGAAGTAATATTGGTACCTGGACTGTATCTTTAACCTTGTTTATTTATTGCAAAATCAATTTCAGTGTTTTTACTGTCAATCTTTTAATTTTTATTAAATTTAGGAAGGATAATGTAAAAGAGAGCCCAAAAAAGAAGCGGTGGGAACCTTCTCTCCAATCACCCCATGGCAGCACCATTACCGTCACACAGTCTGCAAGAGGTGGTGGAAACCTACGGGGCCGATTTAGTAGTTTCCCTACAAAGTTTGGGAACCGTAATGTCTTCATGAAAGAATCCAGCTCATCAAGTGCAGGGTCCCGGTCCAGATCAAGGTCTCCTCCACACACTCCTCACAGACGACACCGCCGCAGGTTAGAAACAAGAAATTTTTACATGTACAATTTTTGTTTTGATGCACAATCTCCACCTGGATTTGTGTTGCTTCTAAAATGTATTCTATTTGTTTTACCACAGTGATTCAGACTCTGAAAGCTCTGTATCCAGTAATGAAATTCGAGGCCGGAAAAATTTTCAAAAAGGACGTGGTCGGGGTGGTCACATGGATCGTGGTCGAGGAAAGTCGCAGAGGGGTAAAAGGTACGTGATGTAGACTGATATTTCACAAAAAATGGGCTTGGTCAATTCTCGTTCTCTAAGGTACACACAACACTTAACCCTTTAATACCAAAACCATGAATGCATAATTTAAGGGGCCCTTTTTGAAGTACCAAAACAACTATTGCTTAATGAAGTGATTTTGGTGGATAGATCATGCCCCTGCAACCTCCTGCTCAATTTTCTGCCATTTAGGCAGCACTAGCCACGCCTCTCGTGCAAGTGTTTTCATAGCATCACTACACTCTCCCTGTAGAAATAGATATTTCCTTATTGCGGTGTGTTTACATTAGAACTTATTTCCCTCTCTTTTTAATTTCCTGCAACTACCTCCTGTGTGTGATTAAAGTTCATTTAAAGGACCACTCCACAACTGTAAAGCACCTTGGCACCCTGAAGTGCTTTATGGGTAAGGAGTATCCCATTTCAAAGGCCTTTTATACCAGTGCCAATAACTATGATCGCTTATTCTACGCTATACCATCTCCAACTTGAAAACCGGTCTTTTTTCCAGCAAACACTCTAGTAGTAGACCAAAAAAAATATTTTTATAAAACACCCGAATAATTACTATCCCAAGAACACATCTTTATGCTAATCTGACTGAATACATTAGTCAAAGGAATACACTAGCAATATGTCCTTTCTCTATTAGCCCTAAGTAAGTAACAGAAAAACACTGAAATGGCAGTTAAAATTTTAATGTAGTTAAATACAAAGCTATGCAATTGGGGTTGAGGAATGCACAAGTAATTTACATCCTGAATGTTAGTAAGGGAAAGCACATGAGAAGCATTTAGGAATGGGTATAGACCTCAAACTAGGCAACAATGTCTGACAATTACTAGTTAAGACCAGTAAGGTGGCTTTAACAAGGGGCATTCGTTCTTGAGGCAAAAATATAATTTAGACTTTCTGTGATCAATGGTGAGGCCTTATCTTGAATATGCTGTGAAACTTTAGGCAAAGGCAGGTTACAAAATTAATTGGGAGAATGGAATTTTTAGTTATGAATAAAGGCTCATAAATCCACTTAGTTTAGAAAAGCGATGCCTCCGAGTAAATATAACATTATACACACACACACACACACACACACATATATTTTTTATTTGAGGCCAATGCAAACCATTGTTTGGAAATCTGAATTTAAACAAGTATGTAGGTCACTCATTTAGACTGGAAGGAATGAGATTTAGTCTAAAGGAAAGGGTTATTTACAGGAAGAACATTATTTGTGAACTTCTCTGCCTGAAGAGATGGTTTTATCAGTTGTATAGATTTGTTTTTAATCCACAGCGGGATGATTATTTTTTTTTTATTGATGTAGCATCAATATATGCTGCAGGACCTTAATTCTAAAAGAGGATATGACAACAAGTGAAGAGTTGAGGGAGATCCTGGTCAAATAAGCATACATTCTATTAAAATATTTTTTGATACATTTTTCAAAATTTTCATAATCATTTTTAAAAGTTTACTCAGAAATATTAAATCATTTGGAAAGCTTTACCAACATTTAAATTGAGGCCTTTAGAAGAAATCTATGAAGATATTTCTATACTCTGCACTACAGCTTTGGTTGTTGATTCAGGAATTCTCAATACACTGGTTTAATTTCAATTGTGTAAATAAGACTGCCTAAACAAATGATTAAACTATCTCAATGGACCCCAATTTGTGTTTTAGCTACCGGTGGTTTTTCAGGGAGGATGAGTTGTACCATGTGGGCTTTAAATAGCCTACATGCTGGCTATGGACAATACCTAATCCAAGGAGGATGACTGTGATTTTACAGCCACATGTGCCAGTTATTGTGCTAGTTATTAGGGGATGGGCCAGGCGGAATCATAGTGGATAGGGTAGCTGTCTGAATCAGACTAATGGATAAGAATGCAAAATAAACAGACCCCCTGTTAAAACCATGCTCACAAACACCCCCTTAAAAGGACACTCTGGTAACAGTAACTGTTTTATCTCACTAAAATGTCTACAGTGCCTGGGGTCCCCTAGTACCATTCTTCCATTTAGTGATAAACTGTTTTTAATGCTATATAAAGAGTTCTCAGCAGCTCATCCCTCCTCCACCTGCTCAGGCTAATGAAGCATTAGCCTGAGCAGCAGTGGGTGGCTGTGACTGAGTGTCAGCTGACCTCATCAGCATATCACAGTGCCCATTTCAGGTATGAATTATGGCTAGAAGGAAGTGTGCCATCAGCCTTCACCACACCTTCAGTTGGATGGGGCTTTGGGAAGCCAGGACTCACATTTAACAAAAATGGTTTAACACTGGTTGGAGAGACAGTCCCAGGGTACTCCATTCAATTTAATGAGAATAAATCATTACAGTGTTTCTTTAATGCAAGGAATATGAACAGCCAAGCTCACTCGAGAGAGCGCCTATCTGCAAAAATGAATGTATACAAGTTTTTTAAATAGTGCGCTCATAATTACGCCTGATCTCATACCATGTAACGGGGAAAGATAACATTTTTGATTTCCCCTACCACAGAATTATCTTGGTCAAGGAGAATACCACTACTTTGTTAATTACGGATTATAAAATCAATTCCTTAAAATGGATAAGAAGATAATGCTACTTACCATTATAAAATATTAATATATTTGGTAGTAACTGACATCGCGAAAATATTTTTAATATATTAATCCTTTCATATATTATAAATTAGAAAGGAAATAGATTTTTTTTTATAAAAAAAATATCTTCCCTGATACACTGCATAACGTGAAACCGGAAAGACCACAGAGACTAACTGTCGGTTTTCAAACACTGTCCGACTGATGCGTGTATTTGGCTGAAGGATCCTGTCAAATACTAAAGGTAGGGATAGCTATTTGTAATTTTATGCGCGTACTTCATTTAAAAAAAAATTATTTCAGTACTTGCTGAAAGGAGTTTTCTTCAAAATTAAAATTAAAATAAAAAAATATATTTTTTTTAGGTGACTTCCCAATAAACGTCTGGTCCTTTGATCATTGCCTAAAATGCTATCCCCTTATGGGAGACTGAAAAAAATCCTCATTGAAACCACTACCTGAAAGTGATAATTTTTATTTATTTATTTTTTTTTTGTCGGCATTACTTTGTAAAGTATGCCAAACCAGTTTATTTTAGAGAGTGTTGATTTAATATTCTTAGTATAGCCAAAGATCATCAAGTATCTCTGTTCTCAAATTACACAAATATCCTTTTCAGGAATGATCAAAGCTTCAATAAGAAAAACCGGAAAAAAAATACTATGGAGTTTGAAGACCCCGAAAAGGAATTTAAAAGGGAAAAAAGAGCTGCTCGTTTTCAGCATGGCCATGGTACCAAGAAGTTGCGAATCGAACCACTTGTGCTGCAAATAAACAATTTGGATGCTGGAGGATCTGATGGCTTTGATTGGAATGAGCTGAAAATTGTTGGTTCCTGTCAGGACATAACCAAACATTATTTACGTCTAACTTGTGCACCTGACCCATCAACTGTGCGACCAGTACCTGTAAGAATCTTTTTATTTCTCTTACAAAACTAGTTTAAAAAAATTAAAAAAAATAAGCTTTCCTTTTTCTTGTACTTATAATACGTAACTAAATGTTTTGATAAATTAATAAATTAGAGGAAGGCCATGAAATTGCTTTTTCTCAGAATTGATTAGTAAAATGTTAATTGTGCCACATTTTCAGGTGTTAAGAAAATCTCTGACAATGGTGAAAGGACATTTTCAGGAAAAGCAGGATTATGCTTTTGCTTGTGAACAGATGAAATCAATACGTCAAGATTTAACGGTATGTGTTCCAGTGAAAATGAAAGGTGAAGATTAAATGCTGGCATTTACATACAGTGTTTTAAACATCAATATCTTTCACAGGTTCAGGGAATTAGAACAGAATTTACGGTGGAAGTTTATGAAACACATGCACGTATAGCACTTGAAAAGGTAGGATTCTGTTACATACAGGGAGTGCAGAATTATTAGGCAAGTTGTATTTTTGAGGATTAATTTTATTATTGAACAACAACCATGTTCTCAATGAACCCAAAAAACTCATTAATATCAAAGCTGAATATTTTTGGAAGTAGTTTTTAGTTTGTTTTTAGTTATAGCTATGTTAGGGGATATCTGTGTGTGCAGGTGACTATTACTGTGCATAATTATTAGGCAACTTAACAAAAAACAAATATATACCCATTTCAATTATTTATTATTACCAGTGAAACTAATATAACATCTCAACATTCACAAATATACATTTCTGATATTCAAAAACAAATCAGTGACCAATATAGCCACCTTTCTTTGCAAGGACACTCAAAAGCCTGCCATCCATGGATTCTGTCAGTGTTTTGATCTGTTCACTATCAACATTGCGTGCAGCAGCAACCACAGCCTCCCAGACACTGTTCAGAGAGGTGTACTGTTTTCCCTCCTTGTAAATCTCACATTTGATGATGGACCACAGGTTCTCAATGGGGTTCAGATCAGGTGAACAAGGAGGCCATGTCATTAGATTTTCTTTTTTTATACCCTTTCTTGCCAGCCACGCTGTGGAGTACTTGGACGCGTGTGATGGAGCATTGTCCTGCATGAAAATCATGTTTTTCTTGAAGGATGCAGACTTCTTCCTGTACCACTGCTTGAAGAAGGTGTCTTCCAGGAACTGGCAGTAGGACTGGGGGTTGAGCTTGACTCCATCCTCAACCCGAAAAGGCCCCACAAGCTCATCTTTGATGATACCAGCCCAAACCAGTACTCCACCTCCACCTTGCTGGCGTCTGAGTCGGACTGGAGCTCTCTGCCCTTTACCAATCCAGCCACGGGCCCATCCATCTGGCCCATCAAGACTCACTCTCATTTCATCAGTCCATAAAACCTTAGAAAAATCAGTCTTGAGATATTTCTTGGCCCAGTCTTGACGTTTCAGCTTGTGTGTCTTGTTCAGTGGTGGTCGTCTTTCAGCCTTTCTTACCTTGGCCATGTCTCTGAGTATTGCACACCTTGTGCTTTTGGGCACTCCAGTGATGTTGCAGCTCTGAAATATGGCCAAACTGGTGGCAAGTGGCATCGTGGCAGCTGCACGCTTGACTTTTCTCAGTTCATGGGCAGTTATTTTGCGCCTTGGTTTTTCCACACGCTTCTTGCGACCCTGTTGACTATTTTGAATGAAACGCTTGATTGTTCGATGATCACGCTTCAGAAGCTTTGCAATTTTTAAGAGTGCTGCATCCCTCTGCAAGATATCTCACTATTTTGACTTTTCTGAGCCTGTCAAGTCCTTCTTTTGACCCATTTTGCCAAAGGAAAGGAAGTTGCCTAATAATTATGCACACCTGATATAGGGTGTTGATGTCATTAGACCACACCCCCTCTCATTACAGAGATGCACATCACCTAATATGCTTAATTGGTAGTAGGCTTTCGAGCCTATACAGCTTGGAGTAAGACAACATGCATAAAGAGGATGATGTGGTCAAAATACTCATTTGCCTAATAATTCTGCACTCCCTGTATTCATGTCATGCTGGTTTGAATTTCCTTATGGGTGTTATAGATGGGCAAGAGAACTATAAAATGGATCTGTCATCTCAAACTAGTCTGTCTTCTATTGTTTACTCATATCCTAATTCAAAATCTGTTCTTTTCTTACACTTGATATTTCCCTTTAAAACATAAGACAAATTTGGCTACACTTGGCAATCTTGATAAAAGGTGGAGTTAGCTTAACAAAGGAAGTGGAGTTTGCAATAAGCTCCACTTTTTTGTCACAATAGCCAAACAGTTTATTTTTTGAAGAGCAGTAGATCAGAAATTAAGAAAAGGACAGATTCTGAAAGGAAGAGAAGAGGAAACAATAGGAGGAAGATATGTTTAAGGATGACTTGTAACTCATTAGTTGTGCGGACCCAGGTATATCTCCTTTTTACTATGGTTGTTCTTGGTAAAAGATGTGTACAAGAAAGGTAAATGTTAAATAGATCAATTATGATAATATACCTCCAAATAGTCCTATATTTGGCAGAAAAATCCTGATTTTTGTTCTTGTGTTCTGTATTCTGCTTCTGGAGATTACAAAATAATCCTTGGTAAAAACAAACTGCTTGCAGGGTTGCTTCAACAGCACTTTGCACGTGGGTAACCTTGAGAGGGGCTAGCAGAGCATCCCATCCCATATTAATGTATCCCAGTTTGTTCTGAAAAACCTTTGTGCTGATATTTTAGTTACTGTTTTATTTGTTTAGATTTAAATAAGCAATCAAAATATTATCTGTACTGTCTAATATCAGGGTGATCATGAGGAATTCAACCAGTGTCAAGCTCAACTGAAATCCTTATATGTGGAAAATACTTCTGGGAACGTCGGAGAGTTCACTGCATATCGTGTCTTGTATTATATCTTCACCCAAAACTCTGGTGGTAAGGCTGTTAATCATATAGTAATGCTAGCATACATTTATTATTTAAACTGTAGTTTTTACATTTTTATTTAATTCTGTCTTCAGATTTAACAACCGAACTGGCGCATCTGACCAAAGACTTGAAGACTGACCCTTGTGTTGCACATGCACTTGGCCTTCTGAATGCGTGGGCACTTTCAAATTATCATCGTTTTTTCAAGCTTTACCGTGAATCGCCACGAATGTCGGGGTATCTCATCGACAAGTTTGCAGACAGGGAGCGGAAGGCTGCCCTTAAGGCGATGATTAAAACGTATGTGAAAGCCAACGTTTTAGTTACCCAAATCAAGCACTCTCTTTTTAGTTTTTCTATAGCACGCTGGGCCTTAACATTCACAGAAAATGTATGTGCGTGCTATTTTATTACTAAAATGTTTTTTACAGGACCTATAAACAAAGGACAGAAGCGTGATGCATGCGCTGCCGTATATATACTTTTTGTGTAGGCCCATTATAAATAATTATAACATCAACGTTATTTCAACAATGCATTCTAATGAAGTAGTGAAAACACACTTTTCAAATAATCTTTAGGGGAGTGCAAATATTAGTGCAGTTTAAATGTTCATGGTAAAACAGCAGGGAACAATTTCTTTTAATTTTCTCCATAGAAGTGAGGGTAAGTAAATCTAACAGTGGTTGATTCAAGTTAAAATATATAGATTCAAGGTACTATTTAACGTGTATTGTGCAAAAACAACTTAGAAGGGCCAAAAACATGATTTATCAAGCAAAATGACTGTTTCCCAAAGGGGTTACTAATAGTGTTGGTGAATAGCTATTAGTTATACAAATGCACAATCATACACTGGTATGAATACAAATTGGAGGTTTTACATTTTAAAGATATGGTGAAAATGGCCAACTTTTTAGAAAAATAAGGCGATTTAATTGCACTCTATTGTGTTAAGCCTACTAACTACCCCTGTATTGGTCAATTTTTTACTTATGTAAGGTATTTATATATGGATGATCACATCATAGTTGTAATCTACATCACTTATGGAAAGGTAACCTATTTATCCCATGAGAATCTTCTCTAAATGCTATACTTCTGAGAAGACTAGTTATGTGCACCTGTGAGGAGAGAGGTGGGGTTCTTGACACAAGAAATCTAGTCAAGGCTATAAATGCCAATGGAGATATTAAGCCCAAAACTTAGGCAGATGTATACATGATTATTAGAACATCTAATTGAACTTGCATTCAATAGTAATGCCAGTGCTGATGGAAATTAAACATTGCATCTGTGAATGGTTGCACTCACAATTGTTTGCATTCATTGTAGACAATTGCAAGCTTAAGGTAAGTATCTTTTAATCTATAAATTGCTGGCGATTTCACCAGCACAGTATTTAAATTAGTTGTGTACCTGCTTGAAGTGGAATCTTGTATCCACATATGTAAATGTCACTTTAAACTTATTCTTGTATGTAGATGGTAATATGCTGGTCTGTGTAAGTATATTTTCTTTTGACCCCTAGTTGGTTGCAGCGTTGTGGGGTTTTTGTTTTGTGCTTTTTTTTTTTTTTTTTTTTAAAGTAGATGGCATGAGATAAAATAAAACAAAAGCCAGGAACTTCCTGTACATTTGCCAGGAACTCTACTGTGCATCAGTTTAATGCATGTCTGGAGAAGCTTATAGTTGTATTGTATATCACAGGAAAAAACCCGAAAAGGAACTGCACACAAATCTCATGGGTGCTTTACCAGACCCAGGGCCAGCACCAGCCCAGCACAGTTTTAAATAGCAGTGGAAGAAAGAGGGTCCAGACATTCCAATGCTCTATAGGCACATTTATTGAAACAGGGAGAAAGCCACATGGCATTGTAATAGGAAAAAAAGGACGTGGCGTGTTGGGGAAACTTTATCAAATTAAATTTATAATAGTTATTCAGAAGTATATAGGTGGGTGGGTTGTTTTTAGTTTTATGGGTGTGGTTGTATAAGAAAATAAATATGGAGAGAAAACATAAGGTAGCCCAACTTATTGTTCAGCTCCTTATTAAGAGCAAAGGTCAACAAAAAATAGCCACTGTCCTGCCAAACATATCATATGTTAATTTCCTTTGGAATTATACATTATAGCAAACAATAAATAGTTTACAAATATTCATGCTTTGATAAAGCTCTAGCTTTATGTATTTACAGAAGGTGGGTATAATTTGTGCGTAATGAAACCATTATTTCAGGTTATTGTGTCACAATTATGATTGTTCTAACCTCTCTTACTCCTTTTTCCTCCACTGCTTTTTTGTTTTGTTTTAAATCTTTAGTTTTCGGCCGGTGCTGCCAGTTTCCTACGTTCAGTCAGAATTGGCCTTCGAGAGTGAGGAAGAGTGCCAGAGTTTCCTGGCTTCTTTATCTTTGGTGTATGCAGGGAGCGACGTCAGCAAGATTGACTGCAAGCAGAGCTTAGCGGTCTTGTCAAACTTCTAAATTGGTCCCTATATATATATTAATATGTGTTCAACACATTTAATTGTTCACACCAAGTGTGAGAGATTGTTCAGGTTCTTGCATTTTTACATAAAATGGTCATTTTTTTTTTTTTTACTTGCCTCTGGATCAGAGGACAGAATGACCACATCTATGCATCCCAAAATCATTTTTGGTGAACTAAAATGGCAAAGAACAAATCTTTATAGAAGCATCACAGTCTTGAATGATTGTGTTCTGTTGGCAAGAGATATTTTGTGTACATATATAGTGTTTTCATCCAGTAATTTCTATCAATTGGCATCATACCCATGGTTTTAAAGAAAAGTTCAAGTATGATCTGAAACAGTATTTGGCTCCAATGTTAAAGTTTTGTAAACTTAATGGAGTTGTGCTCTAAAAGTGTTGTTAAGTATACAGTGTTTTTGTTTCCAGAATGTAGTTCTGTAAAATTTACATCACACAGCCTCATTGGGAGCTACATACACAGGACAGATAGAGCTGACCGGTTACTGTAGATGAAACATGCAAAGACGTTTTCTTGAGGAATGAGCAATTTTATTTAGCACAACAAAGAAACTAGAAAGATGACTGCATCTATCACTAAATTTCAAACATTTCAGTAGGCTTTCTGTAAATAAGGTTTCGGGTTTTTGTTTTTTTGTGTGCTTTAAATGGTATATTTGTTATCAAAGATTACTTTTGATTTAAACAAAAGATTTTTATTTTTTGTAAATTTAATTTTACTTTTCGTTTTTTTGTTTTTTTTTTGTAAATTGTAAATGCTTATATGGTCCTGTTAATAATAGAAACTAACAATGTCTCAGTTTCTTCTCTCTTTACCTCGTCTGTACAAGCCTCTGTCCATCTGCTGCACAGAAGTATACACATGTAGCTGTGGAGAGAAGGCAACACTCAAAAGTAAAAGCCAACTCAAACATTGGGAGAAAACAAGCTTCATATGCAACGCTACTTGGTGGAATAAGAGACTTACACTTTTAAAGAACTTTTATCATCCAACAAGTCTTCAAAAGAAGATTGGCGTTCACATTAGTTCAAGAACATCATGGCACCTGCCAAAAATGACCTGGAACCATTTGCTGCTGGATCCTGCCACCAGTGAGAAGATCCGTTTCAACTTGTTTAATATATTCATATTCTTTTCCTCCTGTCCCCACCTCCCTTGGTTTTAATTTAATTTTTTTTTTTTTTTTTTCCTTATCCTTCTTTAAGAGCAAAATTATACTTTGCTCCCCCTGTTTTTGCAGGTAAATATTAAGTTTGTCCACATATTAATACCTTTTTTCCTTCACCTGTCAGAATTATCTGTATTTTCCATCTCCACCTTTCTCTTATACAGCACTTTCATTTTCTGAGCCTCCCCTCTTCTCCCAGCTTGGAAGATGTTACTGTTTTGACAATGTGCAATCATGAGCAACCAATAGCTGCTCTTCATTTGCAGATTGTTTTCATTTTCTCCTTTCAATAAATTGAGTTGCAGACAATGGTGTTTTTTGTTTTAATTAACCCCTTAAGGATGGCGGGCGTTATATGCCGGCCTTAAGGGGTCAGTCCTTAAAGCCACATAGGGGAGTAGATCGTCGCCGCTGTCTTATTGACTTACCCGGTCACCGTCGGTGGGCACAATCCTGGGGACTACCTGAGAGCAGATTTGGCCCTCCCGTGTGAGCACAGGATCCTCGCGATCACATGGCTATCTGCATCTGTGCCTGCAAGCCCAATATGCCTGTTAGTGTGTGTATGTATGTATATATATGTGTGTGTGTGTGTGTGTGTGTATATATATATATATATATATATATATATATATATACTATTTTTATTTTTTTTATTGAATAGAGGTTTTTAAAACTTTATAAATATTTTTAGATACACATACAGCATCATTCTGTGTATTTTAATAGATATATGTATACATTTTTTATATATGTATATTAAAATACACTTAAAATGACAATTATATATAATATATGTAAAAAATTATCAATACATTTAACAAAAAAATATACATGTGTAATTTTGTTCTAACTGTATTTCGATAATATATAGATATCTAAATTTAGGATGATGTTACAAATATATATGTAGCTACATAAACATGGATATTATGTAATATTTTTATATACTTAAGTAATTTTATTGACCACAGTTTGAGGACCTGCCTGACAACCCAGAAATTTGAATTTAGTTTGCAAGTAAAAACCTTATGATAAGATCGTCTGTGAAAGTGCTTGGTTTTTTTTTTTGTGCATTTTCACTGATGAAATTATTGTGACACATTTTACTGTTTTGAAACACTAATGTTAGTGTTCAGGTACAGGTTTTATAGTGTTTTAAAAAGTTAGAGTTAAATATAAGGCTTGAATTAAAGTTGGCATTCATATGTTTTTTGCATTTTTCACACATAAATATGAGCACCAACTATGGCCAATGTTTTTGACTAAGTGGCTACTAGAAAAGACTGTACAGACCCCATTTGCAATACCTTAGGTTGTGTACTTTTGCAAATGGTATGCCATCCTGGGGGTAATTTTCATTCGTTGACTACCATATGGTCTCAAAGGCATCATAACCAGTCTGAAAAATGTTAAAGGACCACTCTAGGCACCCAGACCACTTCAGCTTAATGAAGTGGTCTGGGTGCCAGGTCCAGCTAGGGTTAACCCATTCTTTTATAAACATAGTTTCAGAGAAACTGCTATGTTTATCAATGGGTTAAGCCTTCCCCCAAAGCCTCTAGCGGCTGTCAATGAGATTGATTTTCACACTGAGAGCACGCCAGCGTCCATAGGAAAGCATTGATAATGCTTTCCTATGCGACTGGCTGAATGCGCGCGCAGCGCTGGAAAAAGGTAAGTTTTGGGGGGTTTTTTCCCCCCCCCCTTCCAGAGCTGGGCGGGAGGGGGTCGGCACTATAGTACCAGGAAACAAGTGTTTTCCTGGCACTAGTGTGGTCCTTTAAATGTGTATAAACTAAAAAAGTAATGTGCCATATTGCTGCATTTGACCCTGTAACTTTACAAAACACCATAAAACTTGTACATGGGGGGTTACTCTTGTACTCGTGAGACATGGCAGAATACAAATGTGTATTTTATTAAAAACTGACAATAACATTCAGTTAAAATGCCATGCAGAACTAAACAAAATAGTTTCTTAATTTCTCAATCTTTTTTTTTTTTTTTTGATTGTATTGATATTGCCTCATATATGAATATTTGATGTGAAATAAAAGCCTGATTTCTACTGAACAAAATTATATATAAGTGTAGGTGCACTTTATATGAAAGGTGAATTATGGTTGAACAGACATGGTCAATTTAAAGATTTTGTTTTGATCAGAATGTGTACAATAAATAGCCTCTGTCGTTAAGGGGTTTAAACCAAAAATAATTACTTTTTTTAAAGATTGTTTGCAGGCAGATGTCTGGGCATTACCAAAATGTCCTATCTATATGACCTTATGCCGTCAATCTGTTGTGCTCATATGAATGGTTTCTACAATAGACGGAAGAAATTTGACTGCAGTTGATGTGGAGAATTTTTCTAGATCCCCTGTTTCCATTCATTTTTCCATTTTGGATTTAATTTGTTTAAAATAAATCTGCTTTTTGTAAACCCTGTAAATGTTTATAGGAAGCTTTGCAAAAAATTTTTGCAGGCGGTTAGCTAGGGTTTTTATAACTTGTAACTCTTCACTGGTAGGTTGCATGCTGTTTATACTGGGAACTATATGCTCATGGACTTGCCAACAGATCTTAAATTTAAAGATCTGCTTTCCCAGCTCACAGGTCAGCTACTTCGTGATAGGTGGGGGGGAGAGAGAGATACTGATATTTAGTGCTGTTCTTTATCCGCTGTGTGCCAATAAAGCTACCAGGAGTCACGTTGTACAAATGCGGAAAATCTGTCATCCAGTGATTATTTTTTTTTTACTGTTTAGTGGGTATAAGCCCAAATAAAACATTTTTCCTGCATGTTTTCTTCTCGAATTTATGAAAAAATAGCTTGTAAAATCTGCAGATCCATGTCCAATCCTATTGAGAAGTGGGATCAGCAGGAGTGCTCTGTGTGCCTGTCACTCGGGTTACCTCTGTGGAGGTAATGGAAGTGCAAGAAAACCTCACCAGATGGGGAGGTGTTTCAACATGCATTTATAAATCCATTGAAATCTGAATTGATATACACTATTGAGTGTTGTAATGTTTGAGGTTTCCTCACAATATATAGATTTTCAGAAAGATTCTCTTAATGAAAAGCTTACAGGGGATCGTACAGCTTTATTCGTTCACGGTCTGCCATCTGACTCAACTTGCCCTTCAAGTGGAGTGACTCCGCCAACAAATTCTGCAGCGCTGTACAATGGGTGCACCAACAGACACTTAATTGTAACCAGACAAATTGGATGCATAGGAACAGCATTTGGTTATATGGATCACAACTACACTGACCCACCTACACCAACAAAACTGCTTCTTAGTGATGCTATTGGCCTTCCAGAAAGAATTTGAGGGATGGATATGGCCACAATTCTCCTGGAAGTGATACTTGTCATTGGTTAAAATGAACATCTTACTGAGAATCCTATACCTCTTTCAGATCAGGATTTTCCAGTGACCATACCATGCCCATATTTTATGTACCTATGGGCACTTAGCAAATTTTTCTGGAGATGAATCCTAGAGTTAAGATCTCACAGTTCATATGTCCCCAACAGGGCCGGTGCAAGGATTTTTGCCGCCCTATGCAAAAAACTTTTTGCTGCCCCCCATATGTCCTGCCCACCATGTGAAATCACAATGCCCCGCCCATATGCTCTGCCATATGGGCCAGCGCCAGTCTCCATAAAGCGTCTTTTATCTGAAAAGACTGTGTTTACATTAAAAAGCCTACAGGCATAGGCTATAGACACCAGAACCACTACATTATGCTGTAGTGCTTCTAGTGACTATAGTATCCATTTAATGTGAGGTAAATTACCATATTTTACTAATTTCATGACGTAAAGTCATGATTTTATAAAGGACACAGAGGCGAGTATTATGCTTTTCTCTTTCTTTTATTCCTCAGCAGCAAAAGAAAATATTGTATATATATTCAATGAAAAAAAGAAAATTCAATAACACTACATCATAACTTCTAAAGGGTTAACCAAATACCACATAAGAACCAATTAGAGTGTCCCTATTACAATAAAGTCCCATGTGACCCTAAGCCACTCCTCTTTCATTTGGTGTTGCTGATGGACACTCCAAAATTCCGCAATGAAAATAACCAGTAGTCGTATAGAGAACAGTGAATCCAGCAGAAGATGACGTCGATAAAAAAACAAAAACCCTGAAGAAAAAACTGGTCATCCTCCATCCGCACACCTCCGGGCATGCCTGGACCATTATGGCACTCCAATTATGAAGCTGTAAGACAGAGAAACGAGATGGTAAAATGTGTTCTTGGATAATATTTTTCCACGTTCATATTCCAACGCTATCTAAACACTAGATCATTCTCATGTTATTCACTCAAATGGAAATAAAATAACACATTATCACCCGGCTCCAGTCCCATAACATACATTACATTCCCAGAGGAGGGCAACTTACCTTTATTGGGTAGGATAATACTCGCCTCTGTGTCGTCATGAAATTGGTAAAATCTGGTAATTTTATTAAAGGACACGGAGGCTCTTATTATGCTAGTTCAAAGCTGTGTGATCACTGACGTGGAAAAATGGGAAACCGGCAGAAATAAAATTCCCGGAATGTAGATTCGACCAATCGGCTGCTTGGAGGAGATCTTCAAATTAACAGCCTAATGAAAAAGCTTTTGATGCCATCGCACCCCTAACTGAGTGTGCTCCGTATGTGGAAGTATCAATGCCTGCCGACGTCATGATCCATTTGACCCAGCGAGATATGGTGACTGTAGAAACCGGACGATGCGGTTGTCGAATAGCCAGGAATAGGTCCGCACGGACCGCCGCCGTCCTTGTTTCATACTCCTTGAGACAGGCTACTGGGCATAAGTTACTGTTATGTGGAAAAGCGGGGTAAAAAACCTTTGTGATGGACGTTTTTGTACGTCTCGATATATCAAAGGCCACCCCTTCCGGTGTATATGAGCGTGCCTGAATGTCCAGTGCTCGTACATCTGAGACCCGTTTACATGAGATGAGACAAAACAACGTAACCAATTTTGCGGTGAGTTGCTTGATCGACAAGTCTTCGTTCCTTGGCCAACTTTCAAAAAGTCGGAGAACGAGGTTCACGTCCCATACCTCCGAATACCTAGGCCGTGGTGGTCGTGCAAATTTTATGCCCCGTAGTAGTCGACATACCATCGGATGTTTCCCTGTTTGAATTCCATTCCAACCTACGTGGCCTGCTGAGATAGCTGACCTATATAGATTAATTGTACGATACGCCAGGCCGTGGTCGAAAAGTGAAGTGAGGAAACCCAAGACTTGACTCACAGTTGCAGATACGGGATCCACGTGTTGTTCCACGCACCAACCATGCCATGCGTTCCAGGCATGTAAATATGATTTCCTTGTACCTGGGGACCAAGCTTCTGCCAGTAGGTCCAGAGTTGTTTGTGGAACATTTGGGATGTCATCAAGTCCCCTGAGCGGAGCCATGCCAAAAGCTTGAGATGTCCCTGCAGTATGAGAGGATGTGGATTGCCATAGGGATCCAGGAGAATGTTGTCGTGTACCGGTAGTAACCTCGGCAGATCTATTGACAGTTCCAGGAGTGTAGGGAACCAGGGTTGAGACGTCCAGAAGGGAGATATGAGGATTAGAGAAGTTCGGTGTCGTCTGAGGTGCAGCAAGGTTCTTGCGATGAGTGAAAAGGGTAATGTCTGGCGTTCGGCCACTGTTGTCGGAAAGCGTCCGTCGCTAGAGCCTATGGATCTGGCCTCCAACTGAAAAACCTCGGTAATTGCGTGTTTAGTCATGAAGCGAACAGGTCGATGTCCAGTGGTCCCCACAGTGATTGCAAATGGCTGAAGGTGGCCGGGTTCGGCCGCCAGTCGCTGGCATCTCGTAGATGTTTGGAGTTCCAGTCTGCTACTACATTGCTCATCCCCGGGATGTGTTCCGCTTGCACTGATATGTTGCGATCCAGGCAGAACTGCCAGAACTCCTTCGCTAATTCCGCAAGCATTGCTGACCTCGTGCCCCCGAGGTGGTTGATATAACGGACCGCTGAAACGTTGTCCATGCGTAACAGGATGGAACAGTTGGTCGACACGTTCAAAAGACTCCGTAAAGCAAACGAACCTGCCAACAGTTCGAGGCAATTTATATGAAGTTCCTGTTCCTCCCTGGACCATCTTCCTCCGGTGGAGAAAGGTCCGCAGCGCGCACCCCAACCAAGCAAGCTTGCATCGGATTCCTCTATGAGGTCCGGAGCTATTCCGAAGATAGCGCGGCCATTCCAGGCGTCTATGTGTTGTAGCCACCATTTGATTTCGTCTTTGGCGGCACAGTCGAGAGGAACAGAATCTGAGTATGAGTGCCCCAAACGAAGGTATTTTGCCTTTAATCGTTGAAGTGCTCAGTAGTGTAGGGATCCAGGAAAGATGGCCTGAATTGACGCCGAGAGGAGGCCTACAATCCTGGCCTGCTTTCTCAAAGTAAGGACAGGACGCGTTAGCGTCCGCTTGAGCTCCTTTTTGATGGCCTTGACCTTGGTCGTTGGGAGTAGGAGTGTTCCGGTCACCGCGTCTATGGTGAATCCCAGGAATTCTATTGCTTGCGACGGTTCGATGACCGACTTCTCCCAGTTGATCAGGAAGCCCAGGTTTTCTAACAGATTTCTCGTCCAAGAGAAATGTTCGTGCAACAGAAGCGAGTCTTGCGCCATGATGAGGATATCGTCCAGGTATATTATGAGCCGTACTCCCCTGCGGCGTAGGAGGGCGACCACTGGTTTCATGAGCTTGGTGAAGCACCAGGGGGCCGATGAGAGACCGAACGGTAGGCATTTGAATCGCCACATGGTCTCTTCCCATCGGAATTGCAGGAAGTGTTGGCAGTCGTCGGCCATTGGAACCGTGAGATATGTGTCCTTCAAGTCGAGTTTGACCATCCAATCCCCTGTGAGGAGGAGGTCCTGGAGAGAGTGTATACCTTCCATCTTGAAGTGATGGTATGTGACAAACATGTTTAAAGGTCTCAAGTTGATGACAGGGCGAACGCCCCCGCCTTTTTTGGGTACTAAGAATAGGTTGCTTAGGAAACCTGGTGTGACAGGGGGAATTGTACAAATTGCCCCCTTGGAGGCTAAGGCCTGGACCTCTTGGGTTATCAACTCTCGGTCCCGAGTGGGGAACACCATTCGGCTGGGGGGTTTCAGTTGGACAGGGTATTGTACAAAATCTATAGAGTAAACCCGGTCCGTGTGGAGCACCCAGGCATCCGCAGTGAGCATGTGCCATGCTTTGACAAAATGGCCCAGTCTGCCCCCCACCATAGTTATAGCTGACATATGAGGAGGTAGTGCACTTACCATAAGGTCGTCGGCCATATGATAAGCCTCTGGGTCCTCAGGTTTGCCACGGTCTGCCTCGAACTGGGAAGAACGGTGAGGCTTGTTTGGGTTCCGGGGGTGTGAATCTGGATTGCGCAGAGCCACGAGAGCCCCGGGGCGAGCGGCCGGGCAGACGGCCCCGATATCTGCCGGCCCCGCCAAAAACTCTCTGATGGAACACTCGCTTCATGCTGGCTTGAGCCTTATCAAGTGCCGTAAAGGTGCCCACATATGTGCCTAGTTCTTTTACGAAGTTATCCCCAAATAGCCTGGGGACCCGGCTCTGAGATAGCTAGGTTTACTAGCTTTGGCTCAATTTTAATTAAGATCGCTTTGCATCTTTCCGTGGCCACCGCCTTATTAGCGTTGCCCAGGTGCACCTCCTGCCAATGCGATTTCGACCATATCGAACATCCTCGCGATTGGTCCAAGGATGTCCAATACCTTATCCTGGCAATTCCGCCAGGCAAAATCCAGGCCCTTCTTGGCCTTCCAGCCTGATTTTCCCAAAAATTGGGCGATTTTTGGGTCCACCTCCGGGCTGGCGCATGCCATATCCGGGACCGTGGGCGTGGGCATTCTGCCCACAGCTTGTTTTGCGCCACCTTATCCAGTGGCTTTCTGATGCGGGCAGCGATATATTTCGCTACGTGGTCCAGAGGGTACCACTCGGAGGACCTCGGGTGTTGTAGGGTGTCCGGGTCGAACAATGGTTCGCCCTGAGGGTCAACTAAGGCGGAGTCGTCAGCTCCGTCCTTGTGTTCCATGTCCGTGCATGTGACGGAGTCATATTCCTGCAATTGATTATCATTAGAATCATCAGAGTCCTCCTCCTCGGACTCGCTCTGTGCCTCCTCTAGCTCCGATTCAGAGTCGGAGGATTCGAGTAGGGCCTTAGCCCTCTTCCATTTCCTCACCGATTTTGCCTGGTGGGGGGCTCTTAGTTGTGGTCCAACCACAGGTTCTGTGACAGGACGTGCCCTGTCCGTCTGTAGGGTTTTGGAGGCATAATTGTCTAAATGGCAGGACTTTTTAGCGGCCTTACGCCCACTAGGGGCCACCGGTTTATTTTCTGGGGGGTTAGGCGGCAGTTGCGTGGCTCTCATCGCAGTGGTTATGGAATGCGTTAAATTATCTGACATGGCACCCATGGCAGTAAATATGGCCTGTGTCACAGACTTCGCCATAGCCGCGTCTAAGAGGGAATGTAAGTCCATATGCTCTTGCGCTGTTTCCAACGCTGTGGGCATTTTGGGGCCCTACGGGTGGTTATGGTGGCTCTAGGCGTTGTGGCACTATATGCACTGTTCTCAGCCTGCATGTCTGGGGTGGAAAGGACAGTAAATACAGGCAGGCTGGTAAGTATATCCCCTAAGAAGGTTATTAGAATGTCTAAACCCCAACTAAAGTAGTATTAAACAAACTAGCAGGCACCAGTCACCAAGTTTTTAGCAAAGTGCTAACAGAGGTAGACAACAAATAAAAATTGCAGCAAGCTCACCGAGTGTTCCCTCAGGAATAAGCTCCTGGGGAACACCGGGAGACTTGCTCAGCAACAGGGATCAACTCCTGCCCCCAAACGAGCAGTATTGGCCGCGCTAGCAAAAGCGCGGCAAAACTGCCAACCCCAAGATGGCCGCCGTGATGCGCACTTGCATTGTGCGCATGTGCGGGTGGCCGCAACCGCGGTAATAACCGCAGACCGCTGGGACCGTGACCGGCAGCGGTACCCATGTGAGGGGAGACCAAGTGGAGGGAATGGGGAAGCAAAACGGTCGGGAAATAAACAAACCGACCGGAGGGGGGAGGGGAGAGAGAGAGGGGGAAAGAAAATACAGGAAGGACAAGACCCAAAGGGGAGAAAACAAGAAAAAGATTAACACATCCAAACCCTGAGAGAAAATAAAGGATGTAAAGGTAATCTGACTGAAACAGCAAGATATTTAACTGTCAGAAACAGAGGAGGAAAAAATTATTGTACTTATCTGAGGCTGCAGCAGCAAAAGAAAGAGGAGTGGCATAGGGTCACATGGGACTTTATTGTAATAGGGACACTCTAATTGGTTCTTATGTGGTATTTGGTTAACCCTTTAGACGTTATGATGTAGTGTTATTGAATTGTTTTCTTTTTTTCATTGAATATATATACAATATTTTCTTTTGCTGCTGAGGAATAAAAGAAAGAGAAAAGCATAATAAGAGCCTCCATGTCCTTTAATAAAATTAGAGATTAGTGCCACTAATAAAAAATTGGATTGCCTACTTACCACCAGATGAGGACAAGAGGCTGATGATGGGCTCAGTCTGGCACACAGGTCTGTTGTAGAAGAGGCTCTCTGGAGACTGTTTTTAGCAGTGCTCACAACAATTAACGAACAGGAAGCAGCTCCATTTTTTAGGGCCCCTTACACAGCTCAAGGTCTGGGCACCCAGGGCTTGACCTTGAGTATGCCTACAATGCCCACCCATAAATCCACCTACATGGCCCACCCATGAGTTCTCTCACAGGAAGTGGAGTGTATGTGTGTACGGGATGTTTTATGTGTTATTGTAGAGGATGCAATGTGTGTGTGTTCTTATAGAATGTAGTGTATAGGGATACCAATTTCTGTAAGGGATGTAGTGTGTTTATAGGGATGCAGTGTGTGTTTGCGTGTAAGGAATGCATTGTATGTTTCTGGGTGTGTGTGTGTGTGTAAGGGGTGCAAGGTGTGTTTCTGTGTATGTAATTGAATGCAGTGTGTGTCTGTAAGGGGTGCATTGATTGTGTAAGAGATGCATTTTGTTTCTGTGTGTAAGACAATGAGTGTTTGTGTGAACGTACAGGATGCATTGTGTGTTTCGAGTGTGTCTGTGTGAGAGTAGGAACGCATTGTATGTTTCTGTGTGTGTGTGTGTGTGTGGGGATGCATTGTGTATGTGTGTAGTGTAAAAGAGAGGGTTTGTGGGGTAGGATAGAGACTGAGAGGGGAGCAGCTCTTTATTTATTTAAATTTTTTTCATAGTGCTCTCCGCTCCTGTCAATTATTGATTTCCCCTTCCCTCCTGTCCCTCCGTGTTCTCCCCTTCTGTCCCTTAGTGCTCTCCCTTGGCCCCCTGTCCCTCTGCAGTCCCCCTTTGGTGGTCTTCTCACTGCCCCCTCTCCCTCTTAGTGGTCCTCCATCCCTCCCCTTAGTGGTCCTCCCTCTCCTAAACCCCTTAGTAGACATTCCCCTCCTCCCCCCACGCCTTAGTGGTAATCTCCCCCCCCCAGTGGTCCTTACCCTCCTCCCCTCTCCTTAGTGGTCCTCCCGCCTTATCCCACTTTGGTGGTCCTTTCCCCCCTTAGTGGTCCTCCCTCTACCAAACCCCTTAGTGGACCTCCTCCCTCAGTGGTCCTTACCTCCCCTCACTAAGCACTTCCTGTCAGTCCGCCGGGTGCAGGAAACAGAGGTTCCTGTCCCGTTCCGCGCCGCCCGGCCACGCTACATTGAGAGACCGGCAGGAGGGAGCACTCTGCGCTTCCCTCCTGCCAGTCACTCCAATCCGGCCGCCCTCCATACAGCAGTGCTGCGCCGCCTGAGGCTTGTAAAAGTGCTCAGGCGGCGCAGCATGAGGAGCCGCACCGGTGACTCCGGGCACAGGGATCCGGCGCCCTAACAGGTAGCGCTGGCCCTGGTCCCCAATACGGAGTGGGTGTAGCCATTCCAGACCTTAAAGGGACACTATAGTCACCAGAACAACTATGGCTTAATGTATTTGTTCAGGTATGTATACTCTGTCCCTGCAGGCATTTCAATTACTATGGGAAACCATTGATAAAGAGTTAGCTATTCAGAAGTATATGGGGTGGGAGGGTTGTATAAGAAAATGAATATGGAGAGCAAACATAAGGTAGCACAACTTATTGTTCAGTTCCTTATTAAGAGCAAAGGTCAACAAAAAAATAGCCACTGTCCTGCCAAACATATATGTTAATTTCCTTTGGAATTATACATTATAGCAAACAATAAATAGTTTACAAATATTCATGCTTTGATAAAGCTCTGGCTTTATGTATTTACAGAAGGTGGGTATAATTTGTTGTTAATTTAAAGGTTTTGAGAGTCGATTTTGATGATATCCGCCAAGAAGGTAGAGCCAGCGGATACGGAACCTTGCATCACTGGAATAAAGTTGAGTAAAATCACTTTTTACATTTTTTACAGGGGGGCCTGAACTGTGTTTTCACAGTTATAGTGACAGGAATAAATGTTTGTGTTTCTGTCACTATAGTGTTCCTTTAAGCTTTACTACCTCACTCCACCTA